GTTGTCAAACTTATTTTTCGATTTTCATCCAATACTTTTTTCTTACATAAATTAAAAAGCTTTACAATCAAAGAATAAAGAGTAATATGAGTTTATCTTTCCTCTTTGCAACATCTTTCAATATATTTTTCCAAAAACAAATGACCGATTATCAATTCTCGAATCAGTTGCTATTATAGCTATTGCTGAGAACGATGCTTTATGTCATCCATTTGATGTTCCTTTTTTTAAATTTAAAAACGACAAGAAATGAGGAATGTTTCTTCTTGCATAATTCATTATCAATAGGTTAAAAGGACGAAGAGACTATTCTATTAAAATTTTCAAATTGAAATTGATAGAAAAGATGTGAAATTCTCTGATAACCTTTTAAGGCCTACGATATATTGACGAGAAAGATTTGAAAATTTTCTCTCTTTCTCTATTTTACAATCGTACAATTCGATAAAATAACAGATATAACAGATTTAATCATCGTTATGAGGAAACTCGGGAAATGTTAAATAGATGAAAGTGCGGGGGAGAGAGAAATGCAATGAAATCTATAATTAACTATTTTAAAAGCAAAAATTTCATCATATTTTTCTTTTTCCTTTTTGCAATACAAACTTCCTGGTTTATCTTGTTTGATATGTATTTGTTTGTTACCACTCATAACAATCCATTTGCAAATGTATAAATATATTTGTATATGAGCATCGATGAAATGCATCGATCAATTAAATTATGCGTTTTATTTATTTATTTTTTTTTGATATTTTAAACAAAACGTTTTAAAAAATATCGTTATTTTAGGAAGAATTAGTTGAAAAATAAACAAACAAACAAGCAAGGAAGTAAAATTCATTGGATACGAATTTCTCTAAAACGAATGTTCGTAATAAGCTGTCAGTAGCAAATTTAACAAACTTATCAGAATAAGTAATTTTCTTGCTTACTTTAAAATAATTTCAATATATGTTGCTCTAACAGTGATTTAATTATTAGATGGATTAAACTACATTTGATATTAAGGTGCTATTTCAGTTAAGCCATTTCGAATTTATCAATGGTTAAAGAGATCAATTACTCCATGGGTCATTATTTTTTAAAAAATGAACTAAATATAATTAAAATCGAAAAATAATTTACAACGAAAAAAAATAAAAACCAAATTACTGAGTAAATAATTGTTAAAAGCGAAAAACAAGAATTATCTAATAATTAAAGACAAAAGGTCATAAAAATTTTAAATTTCAGCTGTTGCGTAGATTATGACTTCAGAAGATAACAATGATTGCAAGCATACATGTTTCATCTATTTACCAGATGTTTGGCTACCATTTGATAAGTATGTTTATCTTTTTTTTAATTAACGATTTCATTTTATTTCACTTTTTTTTCATTCAAAATATTCAAATAAAAAGCAGTACAAGATAATATTCCTCAATTATTGTTTACCAATGTAAAATGAATTCTGAGAAGATTGTTGATTTTTTTTGTTGCTTTTTTTGAAATAAAAAAAAATAAAATAGGAAATAGATATTTTAAACTGTTTAATAAAACAAAAAAAGTATTATATCAATTTTTAATTTCATTCTCTTCTTCTGTACAAAATTTAGTAACTCAACTGTGCAGAAATAAAACAGACTCTGTTCTGTTCTTTCAGAAAAAGTTTAAAATTCTAGCCTTCGAAAAATAAAATTTATTTGCAGCGATTTAAATAATTCTTCAATGAGATATTTATTTCTCATCGATTGCCAAATCATTTTCAGTTATGAAATTATCAAATGCTAACAATTATCATTGGTAAAACTTATTATATTCAATCAAGAACGTTAATTTTAGCTGAAAATTTAATAATAATTTATAAAAGAAAAAAGTTATTTGTATAAGGCAGTTATTCTTGTCGCGCTTATCACTGTTTTCTTACTAATTATCATTTTGATTATCATTTTTCATTTCCAATGAAGCAATTTTTGCTTTTGCACAATGAAAAGCTAACTGTAAGTCAAATGTTTGATGAATTTGTTTTTCTATCAGTTGCAAAAGCATTTTTTTTTCCAGAATATCAAAAATCATACTATTACCAAAAATCATCAACGATAAGACAGCTGCTCAATTGTTTTTTTTTATTGAAAATAATCTTACCAAACTTTGAAAATAATCTTTAAACAAAGATCAAAAACTTGAAATGGTTGAGTGATCATCATTATTGAACAGCTGCTACATGAAGTCAAAGATCGGATAATAAATTTGTTCTCATTTCATAGGAATGGAATATAGTTTTTCTTCTTCAAATTCTAACCGCTGACATTTTTCATTTGATTCAAAATTTATCGCCATTGTTTTTTTTTTTGCAAATAATTACACTTGTATTGCATGTTAATCACTTTTTTCTTTTTCTTTTTTTTTGCACAATATTTCGAAATATAAAAACAAATGAATAATCCACGATAGCATCCAACATTTCATGTTTTCATTTGAAAATTCAATTAATGTTGCTTACTGAATATCAAAAATTTGAACATTTAAATTTTATACTCGAAAAATTTTTTTCAGGAATTTTTTTGAATATAAACTGAGGCATAATTTTGTCCTTGTAATTTTTTTTGTGTCTTTTTTTTCTAAACAGGAAACTATTTTGATGCTATTTCGGCAATTAAGAAAGTTTATTGATTCATATTAGTTAACTGTCGTCTATTTATTCTCAAATTTTACCAAATTAAGTGTGATAAAAGGAAATGTGATAAAAATCATATAGATCAATTGTGAGCTAAAAATTTGACCGGGAAATTGTAAAATTAAACTAATTTCGAAAAATTGGTCGAATGAATTGTTGAAGCGTGAAAATATTGTTGAAGTTTTGCAGTGGTAATTGTTGTCATAATATTCGTTATTGATTTGTTATTACGCTATAAAAATCCTATCAAGCATGAAATAATAAATGACATCCTTCCATTGTGACAAACATAAATTGTTATACTCATTTCATTTTCCTCTTTTTTACAAATATGATTAATTTTATTTCATATTTCAATCCCATAAAATGTTTATCTAATATTTGTTACAATTTGAATGAATTTGTATTTCTTTTGAAATTTATCACCAAAATTACTGATCAGAAATGAAAACGATTTATTTTGATTTATTTATTCATCTGAATAGATGATCATTGAGGAGTTCAATCTTCTTCCCTTTTTATTTCCATATGTGTACTTAACTAAACGGGTCAGTTATTTACATTCAATTATTTACATAATGAATTTGCTCAATATAGATTGTTTACGAAAGGTGGGATGAATTTGAAATTAGCAAATGTAAAATTCAACACGTATATGATAGGTAGAATTAAATTTGTCTAAATTGCTAAGTTACAGCAAGGGAAACAACTAATTCATTAGCTCAAGATTATTTCATCAAATAAGCTAAATTTTTGGATAAGTTAGTAGATAATCAATTTCAGTTATTTTTTATTAGTAACGAAAGCTGTCCAGTAGTATTTTGCACTATTCTTCTTCTTGAAATTATTATTTAAACCATGTTGTTGGCAATAAATTATTTAAATAACAGATTGAAAAACTAGTTAAAATAGCTTCTTTATTTGTTTAGCGCTTTAATTGTTCAGAAAAATCTCTATGAGTTATTCATTTTTAAGTCATAAAATGAAAACAAGTTAGCATTATATCAGTATTATTATAAAAATATGTGCAGATGATTTAAATCATCATCAACTAGCATCTATGATTAATATAAAATTCAATAGTTATTATTATATCTATTGTAAAAAAAATATTTTTTAGTTATTATTAGATATAATTTGCTAAAAGAGTATTTTTTCAAATACAAGCGAGAATTGTAATTCGAAAATGTAGAAAATATTAAAGGCTTAAAGAATTACTCCGTCAAATTTAATGACTTTAAGTAATATCGAAATCGTTATATTTCTGTGGCTGAAATGAATGTAAAGACATAAAAATATGGCTGAAATGAAAGAGTGTAAAGAAGACATAAAAATAGATTTAAACAGGAACAAAGACTGTTGTCTTATCTTTTTCTTCTCGTTCCAGTTATCATCACTTAATACATTTAATTGCTTGGAGAGGAAAAAAAAATTGAAACGAAAAAGCAATTATATTGAAATACATAAAAGCATATTTCAAATTTTTTCCTTTCTTTTTAATATTTTCATCTCATTTAATTGTTCAAATTACAGATGGCTTTGTTTACATCCCAAATATCGGACCGTCTTTTATCAAACAATTGAGCAACTCTTTTATGGTAACGGTCCATTGGCCATATGCGAACGACATTATCTCGCATTAATGGTAATTTCTTTAATAATTTCAAAAATAATTTCCATATTTTTATTTTTAATTTGAAAAATTAAAAAAAAAAGTGATTAAATAAACACAAACTGTAACATTCTTATAATTTGAATTGAATAGAGAGTTTTTTGTATTGATTTAGGGAATTTTTATTTGAAATAATTGCCCATAGAATGGAGATATTTAAAATAAACTTTTATGTTTGTAAATTACTTCAAATTGTGAAAATATTTTCGTATAATTTTAGGCTGCAAGTAGGCATGGTTGTCATTTTTTGATGAATTTACATGCACAAGAATATGAGCGTAACGGTGGAAAGCATGAATGGTTAAAAGGATTATCATATGCTTCAGAAAAAATTCAAAATCTTGATGTCCTCAATGCTGTCTTAGCTCATCAACCGTGGTCAACTAACATAGATCATTTGACCGTATGCTATTTCTTCATTTTTATTTAATATTTCTCATAATAAAGACACACACACAC